CGATAAATCCCCTTCTGGTCGGGAGCAGTTGCTTGGCTCGTTAGCGTTTGAAGCCATTTCACCGCACGCGGATGCGGAAGTTCAGAATGCGCACAACCAGAGACGACCACGCTGCCGCACGCATGCGCACGCCACAGCACAGCGGCAGACAAAGGGAAAGAAAAGGGGAGCAGATCCTCTTCTCCACTTCTGCATGGTAACGTGCCAGAGCTCTTTACACCAGCATTAACAGGGAGCAAAATCTGGCCACAGGGGATTCTGAGTCAGGCAGCCTGGAACAAGAGATGCATAGGGATTTTACCGAGTATGGTATTAGAGAAATACCATACCCTGGAGAATGTCCTGAGTGGTGGGACTTCCAGAAAAACAAAGCTGGGGGGTGCTTCTAGGAGGCTCTTCTGCATTGAAGCTTAACTTTCAGGTCACACAGTCTACCTTTTTTGGCTTCCACAAAAGCTACCGCTGCCTTAACAGCTTGTTTATTAAAATGCATTTACTCTGTGCTTTCAGCAAAAGCTTAACTTTGCCGCAGCCCTCCCATATTAAACATTCTGGGGAGGCAATCATGGTTTTAGATGGCTATACAAGAGTAATCATGATCAAGTACGCTCTTTTCGTCTTTTACGGATCTCCCCTTCGCTCTGTACACAAGAGAGGGGCATCACGACGGCCTTGAGGAGTTCCTCTTTTGGAGGAGATGTTACAAAAACGAATTTGGATCCTGCCAAACACCAAAAGAGCAGTACTTTAAATCGTGACTAGTGGCTCAGAAACTACCTAGTGCTCCTGACTGACGGTCACATTCAGCGGACAAGCAGGGCGGCCTGAGCCCATAACCCCCCGCAGCGAGCAGGCCGTGCTGGTGCGAGCAGCCCAAGGCTCATCCCCACGGACCTCAGGGAGCCGGAGCTCCTCGTCTTCTGCCCCTGCCGACCCTGGCGCCAGGCACCTCCGCAGGGCGCCCTGCACAGCAAACAGCGCCCTGCGGCTCTTCACGCTGTCACCAGGCTGCGCCTGACGCAGCCAACGCTAGCCTCTTCCGGCAACTCAGTAATACCTAAATAATTAACCACTAATAATGGGGGGCGCGGGGGTGGAGGGAGGGGCTTGTTTTGTTTTAAAGTCCAATTGTCCAAGGATTTGGAGAGAAATCCAGGAAGTGCAAGTGGAAACTGAGGAAACCCTCTTTGCTCATTGCGGGGCTGTTTCCAAGACTGCCTTTTCTAACCACGTGATCGCACTGTACAACGAACATTTTGGGTGTGCAAAACAGTCGTGACATTGTTATCCTCCATGAAAGCCGGCTGCTTCTGTTCAGCTACTTGTTTTCATCCTTTTGTGCAAAAATATAGATGAGCTACAGATAAGTTGCTCATTGAAGGAAGGGATTTTATTCTTAGAGCGTTGCTTCTTTTTGTCACCCCTATGTTCAAGAAGAGGGAAGATCCAAGGAACTACAGGTTGGTCAGCCTGACCTTGCTCCCTGGGAAGGTGATGGAGCAAATAATCCTGGGAACCACTTCTAAGCATATGAAGGACATGAAGGCGATTGCAAGTAGGCATATAGATTTACGAAGAGGAAATCACGTTTACGCAGCCTGATAGCCTTCAGTGATGAGGTGGACTTGTGGGATGAGGGGAGAGCAACAGATGTTCATGTTGACTTTAGCAAGGCTTTTGACACCGTCTCTCAAATATCCTTATAGAAAAACAGAGGAAGAACAGACTACGTAAGTGTACAGCGGAGTCGACTTCTGGCTGAACTACTGCGCTCAAAGTCCAGCTGGAGGCCAGTCACTAGTGGTTTACCCCAGGGGTCAATGCTACTTAACAACTTTATTAATCAGCTGGATGATGGGGCAGACGGCACCCTCAGCAAGTTTGCAGCTGATACAAAACTGGGAGCGGTGACTGATGCACCAGAAGGTTGTGCTGCCATCCAGAGGAACCCCGACAGGCTGGAGAAATGCGCAGGCAGGAAACTCGTGAACATCAACAAAGGGAAATTAAGTCCTGCATCCGGGAAGGAATAACCCCATGCATCAGTACATGCTGGGGCTGACCAGCTGGAAAGCAGCTTGGCAGACAAAGACCTGTTGATCCTGGTGGACAGCAAGCTGAAGTCTGCAATGCACCCTTGTGGCATGGAGCACCACCAGCATTCTGGACTGTATTAGGAGAAGCGTTGCCAGCAGGAAGAGGGAGATGATCTATGCGGAGTAGACAGCACTGGTGAGACACATCTCGAGTGCTTTGCCCAGTTCTGGGCTCCTCAATACAAGGAAGATGTGGGCTTCCTGGGGTGAGCCCACTGAAGGTCCACAAGGATGACTGAAGAGACTGCAGCATCTGACATACAAAGAGAGGTTGAAAGAGCTGGGACTGTTCAGCCTGAAGAAGAGAACATTCAGGGGGATCGTACTGATGTGTATAAATACCTGATGGGAGAGGATAGAGGAGTGCAGCCAGACTTCTGAGTGGTATCCATTGAAAGGACAAGAGGCAAGACATACAACTTTAAACACAGAAATTCCCTTTAAATACAAGAATGCTTTTTTACTGTGAGAGTGGTCAAACACCAGAACAGGTGGCTGAGAGTGCCTGTGCAGTCTCCACACTTGGAGGTATTCAAAACCCAGCCGGACATGTCCTAAGCATCCTGATCTAGCTGAGCCTGCTTTGAGCAGAGGGTTGGGGACTAGACGATCTCCAGAGGTACCTGCCAACCTCAACAATTCTGTGATTCTCCAGTCTTTTAACTTTGCATTCACTCAGTGACTGTAATCTAGAAACCTCCTTCTGTCCTAGAGTGCTGTCTGAGTGCTGTCCAGCTAACAGCAATAGCAACAGCAACTTCCCTCTAGGACTTCGTGGCATCTCCTGCTCTCCCTTCTCAGAAGGGAGCTTGTGACAGCTTTGGGAGTAGGGGGGTGGCTCTTTTTTCACTTGGGAAGTAAAGGACAGTTTCATTGGTGTTGGGCAGTTTTTGTTAAGGAGGAAAGTTCTGCAGTGTCTCCTGATGATGGTCACACTCTGAAATACCCAGTTATTTAACAGCTTCCTTCACCTTCCCAGTGTGTTAACAGTTTAGTAACGCTAGAGTTTTTCTCAAAGAAAGCCCTACAGGTCTGTTCTATCCTCTACTTTCCACCTATGTGTTTATCCGCTCTGGCTTATTAAAAACACGATCATTCTCCTTATTTGGAATATATTCAAGTGCCTGAAAATACAGCATACTCTACTGAGTTAGCTTATTTCAGCACAGACTGCTGCCTTTACGGAGGAAATGGAAGTACTTGTCCTCCAAAGGACGGGGAATGTCCACTGACAATTAATTGCTACTTCTCCCAAATCGTAACAGAGCAGAACTATTTGTTTCTTCAAATCCAATCCACAGAATTTTGGACTTTTTTTTTTCCCCCCTAAATAGATGGGTTTATTTTTTAAAATAAATAAATAAACAAATAAAAAAGAATTATGTGAACAAATGTAGGACTTACGTATGATCCATAATTCACTGCTAGGGTCTGCAAAGCCCACGGGAGGCCTAGGCCAATTAAAATATCAAAAACATTGCTTCCGATGGAGTTGGACACAGCCATATCCCCCATACCTGCAGGAATGGAAACCATGTATAATCAGACATGTCTCAGAAAAGTCTTTCAACTTTTAAACAGAAATACATTAATCTGAGCTAATCCCAATAATTTCCACAGATTAAGGCAAAGAGTTAAGGGAGATCCCCCTCATCCCATCCCTTCCCTTTCCCCTTTGCCCTCTCCATCATACAAGGCCAGCAGGGTTGAACGAGCTGAATCCACCTTCTAGGATCATTTGAGAACTTCCCTCAACTAATCCTCCGCTGCTGTGGGGACCCTGGCCACTGGCTGTGCCCTGCTGGCACTCTCCTGCCATGTTCCATAGGGCTTTTGACGCTTTACTGTAACCACGACACATGAGTTTCTATACTGGACTGATTAGATCAGGTCTTTGGGTAGTCCATTAAGTAGCCAGTTGTTTCAATGAAGAGCCACGGTTTTTGCTCCCCAAAGCAGTACTGACTTCCTTTTTCTCTTAAAACACCTGTTGCTGGAGTCACAAGTGGGTAAAAGAAGTTGTTTTCCTTAAAAACAGTAGTATCCTCCAGTCCTTATGACCATGCAGAAAAGCTGGAAAGTGACCTGAAAGACCCTTATGCCATGTTCTAAACAGTTCCGATATTTAAATTAAGAAAAAAGTCGTGGCTCTTGGGGAAGGCTTGAAGTTGACACAGGTGCCAGAACTTGTTCAACACTGTCATTAAAAACCTGTTAGCTGCTTTGCAATAGCAACATAATTAATTTCCTTCTTTGTCCTTCTTTTAAATTTCAGCCTCAGGAAAAGGGCTCTGTATGTTTTCACATTCAGGACACATCTGTGCTACCTCAAGAGGACACAAGGAAACACTTCCATAGCAGTATGACATCTCTGTGATGAACTTACCTTGCCTTGCTACGATAAGGCTCGCCATGCAGTCCGGCACACTGGTTCCAGCTGCCAAGAAAGTGATGCCCATGATCACATCTGGAATTCCCAGTGTGTAGCCAATGATCGTCACCTAAGCAGAGGAAATAAACTGTCAAGCTGTTTACAAGAACTAAAATCAGAGACCAGCTGGGCCCAATTCTGCAAGATGCTGTGAGACGGAGTTTATTGCTCAGGGCAAACTCACACTTTCTTTACAGAGCAGCAGTGACAAGCTTTTATGGTATACTCATCACCTGGCAGAGGACAGCACTGACCTGCTACGTACCCTCTTTGGTTAGCCGCTTTACACGGTTCATCCACAGTTTTCCTGGTACTAACCTGGAAAAGAGACTATACGGTGGCCCGCTACCCTGTGTAACGGTCTCCTGATCTTGGCTGAAGTTTGTAGACATTATTATATACAAATAATGGCTAAGCAGACACTAAAACAACCCCACAGTTCATTATACTATGAAAAAGCTATATGCAGGGACATATCCCCAAGTGACTGCAAACAATTCCTATTGGCAGAGAAGAGATACCTTTAATTTCCTCTTTCCTTCGCTATACAGTCTATGATAAATTAGTGCTCTTCAAATTGATTAACATCTTTAAATTTTGGACGCCTTTATCTAATGGTGCCCATTTCCTATTAGCAACATTTAATTGCTCTCCTGAACTCTCTGCAGCATACTCACTGCAGCATGTGAACCATATGTTAGAAGCAGCACAGTGACCCTGTGGGCTCTGGTATTTCAGCTATGAAAAGCTGGAATAGTTTTTTTTTCTTGAAAAACACCTCATCCTCAAAGATGAAAAGCAGAAGAAAACAAGTAATTTTCTATTTCCTGTTCAGGGTAACATGGGTTATTGAAAACAAAACAACCCCCCCCTCTTCTGTAACTGCTTTGATTAGTTGGCAGGGAAAAGCCTGGCGTTCGTTTCTGCATTTAGTACAAGAATGAATTGTGAAGGCAGTGAAGGTTTTTTTTTGTTGCCCCTCCCTTCCCAGCAGGGAAGTGGCCCGTGCTTTAGCAAGGTATCCCCACGCTCTTCAGGTCCCACGCCAAGACAGACCACGGACTGTGCACTCCGTCGCACGCGCAGCAGCCCAAAGCCAGGCTTCCCTCGTTAGACCCTGCCCTGATGCCAATGCCGCATCATTGTCTGATTCTGCTTAAGAGTACAGACCGCCCCAAAAGAAACACATTCCATGCTGCACTATTACTGTAGTCCTAACGAAGACAACTTACACTTTTCACCTATACGTATCACGTAAGGAGGCCTGCAGCAAGCCAGCAGGCTCGGTGACCCAGCCAGTGCACAGAACTCCCCTGTGAACAGGCCAACTATGCTTGGATTTCCTCGTCTTCCTTTTTTTTTATCCCCTTCTGCCTTTAGGATAATGAGGTGGAATTACGCTCCTGGTGGCTAGAGTAGTTGTGCAAGAATTTGGCTGAATGTCCTGCTTTTGCCCATGCTGAGTTCAAAGTGTTATCACTCACAACTCTGTCTCTCAAGCTTGCTTGCTCTAAGAACAGTGAGCGCTATTGAGGCCAGATTCTTACTAGCATCAGGGCCTCTTTACACTGTCCCGCACAACGAGAAGGTGTTAAACTGGTGCAAGTGTAATTTTTTCCCACGTTCAAGAATCCGGGTGAAATTCCGGCCCTGAATCAAGTTCAGAGACCATGGCGACCAGCCCCTAATTTTCTTCTCTCAGTGTGGACAGGTCTAATAGAAATGGAAGCAGACTTAAGGTTTCTCATCTAAAAATTCAGGTATGTAGAATTTTTATACATTTCTCTAAGCTGACAAAAAGCACTTCGTTGCCTCTCCCAGGCTGTGGTTTCCGCTTTAGTTGGTACATACCATCCACACCATCATGTAGGAGAAAGCTGCAATCCAGAGGGTAGAAGAAGCAAAGGTAACCATGAACCATTTTTCCAAGTGGGGTTTGTTACAGTTGGGCACTGTGAAATACAGGACAAAACTCAATGGCCAGGTGAAGAGCCACTTCAAGATTTCTATCTTGCCAGCTGTAAAACAAAAAAGGGAAACAATCACAGTTCTAGTCTGCTTTAGTCCAGAATGTTGTTATTTTGTTAATATTAACAAGCAAGATGCCAGGGACACCTCAGCTTAACCGCTATGCAAACAGATAATGACAAGACGTTCCTTGTTCAGAAGATCACAGTGTGGTGGCAGAGATGGGAGGGCAGAGGGACACGCGGAAGGAGTATGAAGTGCCTCCCTGAGAGTTTCTTAAGTAATGGGTCAGAACGCACCTGCGACCCTCCCTGGGTCAAGTTCTTACAGGTACCACACAAAAAGTAAGTTCTAGAAAGAGACCTGATCCGACCTCAACCACCTAATGGGAGGGAACAGAAAAGGTGGAGCCAGACCTTTCACAGAATGCACAAGGACATTACAAGAGTTAACTTGCAGTAATAGATGTTACCATAAGCTGTGCATTTTCTCTTTTTTCTTACTACAAGGGTGGTCAAGCACTGGAACAGGTACCCAAAAAGCCTGTGGAATCTCCATCCTTATATAGATAACCAAAACTCAACTGGATGCAGTCTTGGGCAACTTGCTCTGAGCAAGGGCTTGAACCAGTCATCTCCAGAGGTCCATGCCAACCTTTTCCATACTATGAATCTAGTGTCATGGTCCACAGGACATCTAAACCACTCTCTTCAAGGCTTGTGTTTTTTTTTTTTCCCCGTCTCGAACTACAGCTGTGCTGTTTGAGTGAGGAGATCTGAACAGGAGTTCCCAAAAACTGTCACCTGTAAAGGGCAGGACCAGTCCCTACGGTATTCTGGCTTGTAGATCTTTGCCAGCAACACAGCAGGTCTTGCCAGCTGTGGCAATTGTGAGCCACAGGCAGGGCAGGGATACATTACGATCACCCCAGGACTACAGCATGTGGGGTAGGAGGGACTTGGCAAAAAGGAGATCTCCAACCTGCAGACGCAGCGCTCAGCAACCCGAGGCACACGTGGTTTTTCACAAGTCACGTAGCTGTTCCGACTTTCTAAGCCCTCCAGAGACAGTGAGAAGACACTGTGGCCGTATCAGGAAGCAGAGGTGCCCAGGACTTTCTTTTGACGCGGCTCCACACCACTGCCTTGTCTCCGCTAGCACTACACCTGACCACCGAGGTAAGGCCTAGACACAGACACGTCTGGCCTGCGTTCAGGCACCTTGCCAGCGGCCCCACCACCCTCAGCTTGCTCCGCAGCCAGCAGAGAGAGATGGGTGTCTCCAAAGGGTGACCCAGATTTTGGGGGCAGGAACCACCCCGTGGAGATTGCTGCCTCTCCCCGCTGACTGCAACAGCAGTGCCAGGCCAAGGCATGAGCTGCAGAAGAGGTGCGTCCAAGCCCAGGAGTCTGCATCCTAAGAAGCTCCTGCCGCTTCCCAGTTCCTCTCATCTTTTACCTGTGATCAGGAACTACGCTGCGAGGTGCAGGCTGATGGGAACGCTCAGAGACAATTCTACCTCAACACACATCTGTGATGCTTTCTGGCATACCCAAACTGAGTTTTGCTTTTTGGAACAACACAAACCCAGGAGCTCCTTACTGGGTATGTCAAAAGGTGTGTATGGCCCTTCATGGTCATCATCGTCATCATCTTCTTCCTCTTCCTCATCGTTTTCGTTGTTCTCGTTATCCTCATTCTCATTCTCTGTCTCGTTCCCAGCCTCAGCCATGTCTTCGTCCCGCCGCGTGCCGTTCACGCCCCGCTCGGCAGAGTTGCTGGGGCCTGTTCCGTTCTCAACCACGTGCTTGATAGGTATTTTGATTGCTACTTCAGACTCACCATTGGTGTAAGCCCTGCTGTTGATCAGCCTTTGTCTCTGTAAATACAGGCACAAATCCTTGCTGAAAGACAGATTTTTTAAAATTTAATTTTTTAAAGAGAAAGGGAGGAACAGAGAAAGAGAGATGTGCAGAGTTCTTTAAAAATTTGGCTTTAAAAGCAAAAGGGATGAATTTTGATCAGGTATAACACGATGCTTGCTGGCAGATGACTAAATAAGTCTCACACATACAACTTTTGCAAGAGAACTGGCTGCGGAATTGACTACAGGAGTACTCCAAGACCAGGGCCAGACTAAGCGCAGACTCGGTGCAGTACCATATTATCAAATACGTGCAAGCGATATTAATGTCAGATCAATGCAGCGGGCACCTCCTGTGAGCAGCAGCTACAGGTCACACAACCACATAACGACTTGAAACTTCCTCTGCTAAAATCTTCACAGGGACAGATAGAGTGGGATGATTTAGTAAAGTCAGCGTCAGAAGGATAAAATCTGGGAAAATGCTATCGAGGATCCAAAAAACCCACAAAAGTTCCATTTGGACCCAAACACTGCTACAGGAGAAGGCAAATTCAGAAGGAGAAGGGGATGTGGGGGAAGATAAAAGATATACCTCATTGATTAACATGCGGCTGGCCATGGAGAGACGTGTTTTGGGAGGGAAGTGGCTGGTTATCATGATTCGGAGCCCAGCCTCGGAAAATGAAAGCTGGTGTGGGTAGGCAGACAGCAGCTCATCCACCATGATCACCGATGCTTTACGGTGGAAATTTCCTGCAGCCAAGGAACAAAGAGAAACTGAGGTCTTCTTCCAGCAGTGTCTCTCTCTGCCCTACGTAGCTCTTAGAAGAATAAACCCACAGGTTCCAGGAGTCCTTTGTAAGAACCATTCCTTCAGCTACCACCATCCAAAATGGTGGTAATTAATGTCCTTAATTTCTATCTGTACACGTCCTACATTTCCATCGTTAAATAAATCGCCAAGATGGTATCTCCACTCAGGCTCGTCACAGAGAATTACACCCGCTCTGCACAGTTCATCCTAGGCCTGCGTTAGGCAGATCACCGCCGGCGCAGCAGCTATTCCACCAGGGCAGTGAAGCCGCACTAACCCCACCATTACGATCTGCACTTCTGTGAGGATACTGGCCTCGCCCACCGTGAACCACACGCGGTGGTGAGGAACTTGTCTCCGTGCTCCTGCAGGCTACCGAGGCAAACGAAAAGCGGGTTCCTGCACCCCGGCCTCACAGCTCGTGGCCGTGAAGCGCCATCAGACCCGGCAGCAAGCGCACATGCCGGTCCGTGGGGCGCGACCCGCGCTGCCGGAGCAAAGGAGCAAGCGCGCAGGGGTAGGCACCCGAGCTGCGCTCCAGCTGGGGCACAGTGCCAGTGCCCGGTCCCGCTGGGGAGGCGCAGGGCCAGCGCCCACCCCTTCTGTGCCCGGATGCTACCTCGAGCTGCGAGTTCGGGGCCAGGACTGGGACTCCGCAGCAGGGTGACCCGAGGTCTTCCCCGACACCTCTCTGCTTTGCTTTATTAAAATCAGTGCTGAACGCTGGCAAACGTTTCACGGCATTGCTACTTATTGCCATTGCTGTTAGCCTTACAGAACAGCATCTCCTCGGCCTTAGCGTCACTTTTTTTCCTGACTGAGAAGGTTTCCATGGATTGGGGTAGATAAGTGGAGTCATCCATATAAAAAACCAACCAACAACAACCCCCAAAACCCCAGCCAGACGCCTTTTCCTCCTGACTTTTTCCACGCTGGCATTTCCTGCATAGCACTTGGGGGAACTGCCCCGAACACAGAAATCCTTCCGTTTGATCCTTTTTGGTCCCCTATTCAGAAAAGGCCGCAGAAAAGAAACGGTAGTGTCTGAAAGCCTCAGGCAACCTGTCGCGATGGGTGCCGTTTGCCACCCCGTGCTACTGGCTGGTGCGCACAGCAGCGGCAGCGCCACTCGCCCGCCTGGGCCTCCGGCGGCCCGCTGCCAAGCAAGCGCAGGAACAATCTGCCAGAAAATGAAGCAATCCTTTTGTCTTCCTTCCTCGGCCAGTCTGGGTAACCGCAAGTGTCCAAAACAAAACATCACCAGCAGCTGCGCAGTGTCATGCAAAGACGCGTTCTGGGGAGATTTAAACCAAACCCCACAACCAGAACTGCCTCATTTGTGCGTAACCCTGAGGCCACCGGGCAAACCTAGGTGGCTAAGGGCCGAGTTTACGCTTACTGAGTTTTACCAGTCTAGCTTTACTGGCACGGAGTGTAGTCACCTTGCCAGCGCAGTTTGGCTGTTGAGAGCCCCGGGCTACAGCCTGCTGTTGCCATAAAAGCCGCTTCCCCAAAGCGGAGCGCAGCGGTCTCGCAAAAGCCCTCCCGCAGCAGCAGGGCAGCAGTGCCGGAGCTGGCCTCCGCCAGACCCGGTGGGTTTGATGTCAGCAAATAAATCTCCCTACATTCCATGTTCAGTTGCTTACTGTATACAGACTACGTGGTTCGATCACTGCCTGCAGGAAAAGAAAAACCTATTTTGTTAATGCTTTTTGTTGAAAAGAGAAAAGGGCGGTCCATCTATAGTCAGAGACCAGGACTGCTTTAGACGAGCTAGAGCTCCTTCTCCAGTTAAACCAGTGATAGGGGGGGGGGGGGGAGTGCTACTCCTGAGGATAGGTGCATATAAATCCCAAGCAGTTACTGCGTATGCTTGTTGTCTGTTGCAAAGAATAAAAAACTACCCTCTGTAAATACAGTTTAGCACATGCTTGCAATGCACACATCGAGTTATTGCTGCTGAGCTGTGGAGTGGGTCCATTTTTTTTAAGCTGAGGAAATACAATCATTTTTATACGTGATCGTGACTGAAATCAAATGGGAGCAGATTTCAGCCAAAGTGAAATCCACTTGAAGATCATTTACATGGAAAAGTTGTGCACGTTCGAGATAGCGCGCACAGTAAGAGCACGTTACTTAGACCAAGACAGAGTGCCCACCCTCCCTTCACCGAGGGGAAGCGTATGCTGGTATAAGTAGGGTCTTCTTCCCTGCTCGGTTTGTGTCGCTTTGGAACGGAGTTAAATTTCACTGGAGGTACTAGATGTAAATGGGCACCTTCAGTGCAGAATAACAGCGCCCACAGGAGGACTTAGGGTGGCATGGCTCTAACGGTCTAAATTAGTAGCCCCTGGGCAAGTCAGGCTTGAAGGAATCCTTTCAAGCCAGGCACCGGTCCAGCAGCAAGCACTACCCAGAGGAGGCCTGAGCTGCCTCCAGCAGCCAGGACGCGGTGGCTGGGGTCACCATGCTGTGCCCCCAGGCACAGGGGAGCCAGGGCCACCTGGCAGGGGGGCTGCGAAAGCTTTGACGGCCGGTAAGGCACAAGCAGTCCTCACCGCACGACCAGCGGATAAACCTGTGAACAGTCAGAATGATGCAAGCAAGCAGGGTGACTTACTGGAACAGTTACCTTTCTTTAGTAATACCACTGTGGCATCGCAGTTGCTGTTGTCGTCCATTTCCGTGTTATTTGCTAAACCGTTCACCATATTTGCGGAGTTTTTCGTCTTCCTTTCAAAGCAGTGATGTATGGTTGAGTTGTACCTGCACAAATGAAACAAACTCTAGATGTACCTTTGCTCCTTCTATGTGGATTTCTTGACGTTCTTCCTCTCTAGACTCCCATCCTGTGTGATCCGCTTGGGGAGGGAAGCAAACCCCTCCGGTTTTAAGGAAACCTAGCCGCAGTATGCCAGAGCCCTAACTAAACTGCATACAGTGCAATCTCTCTGTACCCAGAAGACAAGACATGAACCTTGAATGACATGTATGCTTATCTATTATGTGTAATAATAGATTGCTATATTCTGAATAGCAAATAAGCATTACCTGTCATCATCCAAATTTATTTTTTATCACATAATCACACCTAAGCATGAGTGGTGTTTTACCTGCGAAGACCTACCACAGCAACACCAGACCTTGTGCTAAGTTCCACTTCAACTTTGGGGGAAATACCTTTGTTTCTTATTTTGAGTAGGCAGGAGCTGACAGGAACGCCAGTTGAGGATCTCGCCACGACACTCAAAGGCAAGGGTAGAACCTGGCCGAGGTCCCTAACCAGGCAGACAACCCTCCCTGCCATAGCCAAACAGATCTGAAACATCTGTTCACGCTACAGCATTGCTTTCAGGAAAAAAAAAAATCATTCTAGATTCAGACATTAGAACTATTTTGCTGGTCTGTTAATTGTTGCAAGGGTGAAGCTACCCTCCATGTTAAAGAAAAAGTTTCGAATTATTAGAATGGAGATGAATTCTAACTTGTGTTCCCTTCAACCCAGCCTGAGTGTTTTGCCGTTCTCACTGAGAATTGCTCTCACAATATTTACTCTATTCATCATTTCAAAACAAATCCCTACTCTTACTTGTTGAGACAAGACCACTGGTGTGCTTGGCAGCTGGTAGGTTTTGTTGAATGTTCCAGTTTAAATCTGGGTTTCCTTTCCACTGGCTTTTAAAAACAAGACAGGAGGAGGGGAACCAAACAGCAGAACAGACTAGCTTTGCTAGCATGAACTTGCATGAAAGGAGTTACGCAGGTCAGATGCTCAGAAAAATCAATGCTGATTGTGCTGTAGTTTCATCACGGGTCTCCAAGCAAGCAAGAACAAATTGCTGTGGAGTGTTGCATCCATAAAATGTAGACTGGAATCTCCTGCATGTTTATTTCCGAGTTGGGATGCTAAAGCGAAGTCGGAAGAGGCTGCTTTGGTGGGACTCAGAGACGGATTCGGGTCTCTGCTCTGCCACAGAATTGCTGCATTAGCCTTGGGCAGTTCACACAGAGTGAGATCCATAAAGCATCATCCACCTTTAGATGTCTGATCCTTGGATCTGTGCTGTGGGGACAAGCAGCCCCTTCCTGCCTCACCAGGATAGATTACAGAGAAGTATACGACAGGGCAAGGTGCTTAAGCCCCTGCTCTCGGAGGTGCTGCTGGCGTGCAAGCTGGGGGATGCAGTGGCAGCCCTGCCCGCAGCCTGCGGCTCTCTTCACTGACCCTTGCAACCTCTGGAAAAGCGCTGGAGCAGGGAGCCTTACAACCTAAACAAGCCGAGGGCGCATTTGACTTACTTCATTATAACGATGTAGATGACATACATCAGCACTAAGACTAAGGACTCCCACCTGCAAACAAGAGCGACAGAAAACACATCAGAGCAGTCAGCACGGCAGTCAGCAGCCCGAGTTCAGCCATTCCCCCATCCGTCACGCCACAAACTTGCGGAAAGGCTTGAGTCTTTTGGGCTGTCTCAACACACCTCTAGAAAAGGGGTTATGTAAAAGAAACGGGTCACACACCCATGCGCGATGCCTCCTCTGTGTTCTTGACTTCTGCTCTGGTATTACTTGGCCAAATCAACCCATCAGCTAAGAACAAGTGACTAAACCCAGAAGTTCAGTCAAGGAGTTCCGTCAACAAATTGTGCGCCCAAGGAACACCAACACTTCTGCAAGGACGATACCTGTGGGGTCTGCGGCAGACGGAGGGGAGCAGTCGCCCTGCTCTGCCTGCGTGGGCGTAAAGCAGGTCGCTGGGCTTTCCGAGCACGCTAAAGCACACCGAGCACGCCGAGACGACCTGCACAAGGGGCAGCTGCTCTTCTGCTACTGCTGCTGCATAACCACTGAGAATGCAGCAGGCAGCAGTTTCAACTGCTGATTAGATAGTGTTGGGGTTTTTTTTTTCTCCATTGTTTCTGTGTCAAACTAATGAAATATGTATGAAAACAAAACAGAATATGACTTTTAGAACTTGATTCTAATGTAATCTTCTTCATGGACCAAAATGCTCTATTCTGCATAGTTCCCTATGGCAAACTGCTAGTCCTTGTGGAAATCATCCATTATCGGACTGCCATATACCAAAACTCGTGGGCCATTTTCTTTTTTTAAGGATCTTGAGACATTGCACTACCTGTATCAGTATCTCATTCCCTGCTTCTGGCAGTTCAACACTCGGCATCTGCATTGATGCGTTTTAGTTGAAGGGCACAGTCAAATACAGTTGCGCCTCGAGTCAATTTTAGTTAAAAAAACAACACGCAACAAAGAAAAACAAGCCATTGCAAAACTCAGTGTTTCAGAAATCCTTCTCTGCAATTAAACAGAAATCCCCCAGTGAGAGCAAGTTTAAGAAAATATGCAACCCAAAAAGCCTGACTCCCTCTAGTGCTTGTAATCTAAATAATACTGGCTGTGAGCGAAATCAAAGCTACCGCTGTCGCACTACAAGCCCTGAGAGGTGCTGAAAACAAAACCATGAAAGCAAAATAACCGAAACCACACTTTTAACAGTGTTTGAAGCCCTCCTAGCCTACCATACCTATTGCAGTACATTTAAGCACATTCATGAGGGATATTAACTTTTCCTTCCTTCCTTCCTTCCTTCCTTCCTTCCTTCCTTCCTTCCTTCCTTCCTTCCTCCCTCCCTCCCTCCTCTCCCTTTCCCTCTCCCCCCGCTTCTTTCTTTCTTTCTGTCATTCGCTCTTCAATATTGCCTTAGAAGTGTTTGTGTTTTAAATTACTAAAAATCCAAATATTGGAACACACTTACTTACGAGTGCGTGGGTGGCCCTTTCCATTCGCAGGTGCTGACAGCCCTGGCACGGCCCGGGCTGCTGCAGAGGGCACTGACCGCGCCGCTGCAGCGGGCAAGCCTGCGTGACGCTCTCCCAGGCTTTTCTCTCTGGCTCAGAAAACGAGATATTCTAGCCCACCTTGTGCTGAGGTTTCCCACGCGACAGAAAACTGCTGCCTGAATCGCCCTGCAGGACTTTTCAGCTTCCCCCTCCTCTCCCGATGATCCCTACTCATTGCAGCTTTTGTGGTATAACCAGAAAAAATGAAAAGAAAAGGGATTCACGGCCGGACATACTTACCAGGAAACTTTTTCGTCATAAATAAACTGTGGAGGAAAGGTTTAAAAATAAGCATGTTATACATGGAATCACAGCTGAAAACAGCTCATCGCCTGAGCAGGGGACAGGGCGGGCAGAGCAACCCGGGGCTCAGGGCAGTGGGATTCAGCTCTCATCTGTCTTGGGGCTGCCCTCCTGCCCAGCCTTCCAACTTTTCAGCCCTTAGTTTCTCCCAGCTAGTGAAGGCAGGCAGGCACCCCTTCCCAAACGCCCCGGCATCCTTGCCTGACTGGGGCTCCTGCAGCAGGGAAGCAGAAGCGGTTACGGGGAGACAGAAGCGAGGCAGAGAAGGGGCTGCCCCTGCGCCGGCACCACACGGCTGCTCTCTCCAGGGACGCGGCCCCTTCCCCTGACCTGTCCTCGGGTGGCGGCTGGGCCGCCAGCACGCAGATCTGCAGCTGCTGTGAAATTTTGCTGCGCTAAACACTGGGCCCAGGGCATTATTTCCTTCAGATCTACGTGATCACCACACTCGCCAAATTCAACCGCTGCGGCAGCCGGTTTAGCGCACGGACGGATGCCGAAGCTTTCGCATCGATGCTGCGCAAGCCTCCTTGGGAAAGAGATGTGCCTCTCCAGCGCGTGTAAGATGCTGTGTGTTGGGGAAGAAACAATGCCATGCCAGAGGGGCGAAGGGTGTTTGTCCGCCTTCGCCTGGTTTGGGGAGGGTCCGGATCAGCAGGTGGCTGCAGCGCTCCACAGCCGGGCCCTTCCCCAGCCCACACTCCACCACCACCACCATCACCACCACCACCACCAGTCCTGCTGGGAGCAGAGGAGGCTGCCATCCTCCCTCACTGGCAACACCCCCCTGTCTCCACGTCTCCTTCCACCTCAGATGGACATCAAGCTACGGATGTCATCTGGACTTCCATAAGGCATTTGACACAGTCCCCCACAACATCCTTCTCTCCAAATTGCAGAGAGATGGATCTGATGGGTGGACGAGGAATTGGTTGGATGGTTGCATGCAGAGGGTAGTGGTCAACAGCTCAACGTCCAGATGGAGATCAGTGACGAGTGGTGTCCCTCAAAGGTCTGTGGAATCTGGAATCAGTACTCTTTAATACCTTTATCAATGCCATAGACAGACAGTGGGATCGAGGGCACCCTCAACAACTGTGCAGATGACACCAAGATGAGTGGTGCGGTTGACATGCTTGAGGGACGAGATGCCATCCAGAGGGACCTGGACAAGCTCGAGGAATGGGTCTGTGTGAACCCCATGAGGTTCAACACAGCCAAGTGCAGGGTCCTGCACATGGGTCAGGGCAACCCCCAGAATCAGCACAGGCTGGGGGTGAAGGGATGGAGAGCAGCCCCATGGAGAAGGACTTGGGGGACCTGGTGGGTGAAAAGCTGGGCATGAGCTGGCAATGTGCGCTCACAGCCCACACGGCCAACCGTTATTGCTTCAATAAATCGCACTATTGATTGACTCAGCCGTGTGCGTGTTGTCCCTGAATGCGACCGTACCTTTGAGTGCGGCCATGTGAGTTCAGGAGGCGTCCGGCTGAGCAGGTCGTGTGATGTTAGTAGTGCATCCGGACCCGTGATAGTCCAACGAAGGTGCTGGGCGCGACCGGACTACTAACGCTAACTTTGGGCATCATTCAGAACCGAAGCTCAGCCGCCCCCAGTCCCTCTGATATTTGAGGATCGACTGGAAAGCAAGGGGGTTTAGTTTCTGCCAAATTGCTCTGCCTCTTAACGCAACAAGACCTTACTGCAGCTGCCAGGGCCGAGAGGGGGCTGGTAAGAAAGATGGGGGACAGACTGTTTAGCAGGGCCTGTAGTGATAGCACAAGGGTAACTGTTTTAAACTACAAGAGGGCAGACTCAGACTAGATCCAAGGGAGACATTTTCCCAGTGCAGGTGGTGAAACCCTGTCCCAGGTTGCCCAGAGAGGGGATAGATGCCCATCCCTGGAAACACCCCAGGTCAGGCTGGACGGGGCTCTGAGCACCCTGCTCTGGTTGGGGATGTCCCTGCTCACTGCAGGGGGGTTGGACTAGATGGCCTTAAAAGGTCCCTTCCAACCCAAAGATTCTATGATTGTATGATAAGATGGCACCTAGATTTTAAAAAAGAAACAATCCAAAAAACCCCACAAGCAAAGCAAAAACACCCAAACAAAAAAAAAGGACTGAAATATACATTGAGAACACAAATATAGTATCTTTGTGATTCAGATTACACACAAACAAGGAGCACCTGTTGATTTTTCTTAAAATAGGCAGGGAAATGAAACAGATTTTAAATCTAATAATGGAAATCAAACTTGTACCACAACTTTAAGCTATACAAGTTCAGTTTATGAAAGATCTAATAATTTTATGTCTATGCATAATAAAGCTTATGTTCTCAGCATTAGCAGCAAAGAAAGCCACAAGCTGCTTGACACCAAATATTCTATTCAGTGTACAGGAAAACAATATGTACATGAAATAACTGGATGGTAATCTAACCACAAATACCACCTGTAAAAAGAGATGTTAAATGAAGTGCTTCCTATTTTACAGGAAAGTCTTGCTACGTGTCACAGACCACACTGCACATTCTGCAGCACATATTTCACATAAAACCATGCTCTCCATATTCTGCATAAATCCCTATTTACCTTAAAGAAACTTCCTCGTTTGTCCGAACAACGGGTCTTCATTGTCAAAGACGACATCTTCCCTGGGAAGACTCCACTGTATGCCTTGAACTCCTAAAAGTAGAAACATTTTTAAATGGTTAGTCCAGTCTGTCGGAAATTCCTTTCTAAGCCACAGAAACAGTCATGACAAGCCTTCTGCCAAAACCCTTTCTGTCAACAACACAGTGCCATTTATTTCCTACCAGAGTCCTTACATATCCCTTTAGTTTATTATTTTTCCGTAAATCACTTCAAAAAGACAAGGCTACTCAAGAGTTCCATGTTTCTCCCTTCTCTTCGCAGCTGATCTGAGTAGATTTTGATGTGCTCATTAAAAAAGAACACTAACACATAATGATTGCTTTGTTTGTTTGACCTCAGCATGAAGTACAAATAGAACAAAATGTTAGATGTCTCTACAATCCACTCTCACATATTACAGTGTTAACGGGGCTGACCGAGAAGGGGGGGGGGGGGGGGGTTCAATAGCCCACA